CTATGTTGCCAAGGCTGGTCTGGAACTCCTGGGAAGGAGCGATCCTCCCACCTTGGCCTCACCTCACAAAGATTTCAGGTGTGAGCCATCATGCCTGGCCTGACTGCATTTAATAATAGGGATCTACTAGTAATAGAAAGAAGAACAGCTGAGTCCAAGGAAGGGCCAATTCAGAAGAGAATTGTGTCTCTAGGAACCCCAGGGACTCAAGGGTCACAAAAAGTAGATGAGGGGCCGAGGCCCCAGACCCTCCCCCTGCCCCTCCTACTTCGATCAGACACCTCGCTGCTATCTGGGTTGATTTTTATGCTTTGGCCAGGACTCCTCTTCAACAAAGGAATCTGCATCTAAGAAGAACTGTTATAAAACATCTGTTCTGGATAAAAATTATTACGGAGGCAGCCTAATATCAAGGTTAAGGACATGAGCTCTGGGTTCTGACAGCCTGGATTAAAATTCCAGCTTCGTGACTGTACCCTTGGGGGAGCTACTTAGCTCAGTTTCCTCATTGTGAAATCACAGGGGCCAACCCTAGAACCACGGCGAGGAATAAATGAGAAGATGCCTACAGCACACAGAACTGCACCCAGCCAATAATGCATCCCCAATAACTGGACTTTCATTTTTACTAGCTGCCAAGAATGAGGTGCCAGTGAAAGTTCAGGGGTCTTGGAGTGGCCTTGTCCCCAGAGGGTGGGTGCTCCAGGGTCCTCATCTTTCAGCCCAGAAAGCTGGCCAGAGAAGCGGACCCCAGGGAAATAGGCTGGGAAATGAGGGCATCTGTTTTGTTTCGGGGGGTGTGTGTGTGTGCACGTGTGTGTTTAAGGAATAGCTTAATTATCTAACTTGAGAAATGACTGTTTGACTTGTTATCAGGATTTACACGACTTTTTCAGGACTGTGGATAGGAAGCAAGTGTTCAACATCTGCACCCGCACGACAGATTCATCAGGCACACAGCTGCATCCCATCCGCATATGTAAATCTACCAACAAAGTAGATTCTAACCAATTACTTTCCCACCAGTCCGGTTTCCCCGCAGGCACAGGAACTCCAGCGCGAACCCGCTCTGTGTAGCCCACCCCGGCTACACCCACAGACTCCCCACAGGAGATGCATAGCTAAAAATTAGCAACTGGTACAAGGAGGAACTTTTCTTCAGCTGAGACTTGTCCATCTCCTAAGGTCCCCAAACTGTCCTTGTTGGACTGCATTTTCAACCACAGCTCAACTCAACTTCCCAGCATCCCGATATCTTCTCCCTACCAAGGTGGCATCCAGAGCGC